CATTGGTTAGTGTGTTTATATCTGGTTAAAAAGCAGTAAATTATGCCATTTTAGACAACCACCGACCATCTCGTGGACCTGCAAAGGAGACTGCTAGCGCACATGCGATCGCAGCCTGGAAGTACAAGCCTTGCCGCCGCGACCAATCTAAACCCAGAGGCCACCTTCCGGGAGTCGCCAAACCAAGCGATAAGCACGGCCTGCGACCGCTCCCAATCGCACAACACCTGTGAGAGAACGCACCTTCGGAAAACAGAGGGGGAGGGGGTAATTGTTTTTTAGACTGCTTCGCAGACATTGGACATTTTATAGCAAGTTTGTATTATTTGTAAGAGAAGGAAGCCCAGCTGGATGTGAGAGAGAAAGGCTCAGAAGACAGTCTGTGCATCCAGAGCAGTTCAGGGTTAAAACCAGTCGAATAAAATTTGGGAGGATCGATTGCCCAATAAAGCCCACCATAACTGTCAAGGTTTAATATTACGCCAACTTATATGCCTTAACCACAGCCAAGGTATATACTCTAATTGCGTTTTCAAGCTTTTAGGAGTTTCACAGGCAAGGAAAACTCTTCAGTTAAGCGAACATCTATTAACGCAGATGTCGTCCTTTTACGCAGACATTTATGTAACGTACAAGGCGTTGCTGTTCCATGTTGAACACAACTGCAGCGTCCGACTGAGTGTTCTGTCTGGATGATCGTAAATAATATTAAAGTTAATCCCCGAGTTTTCGTGATTCCGTATTCGAAAATTCAATTATTTGCTTTCGATAAACTATCTACAGGCCTATACATGTATATGGTAACTAAATAAATAAACTAGGTTGGTTGGTGGAAAGATGTCGTGTTGTTGTTGTCAGGGGCAGTGGGGGTGAGAGGAATTAAGGTCAAAATATCAGTGTCTTTGCGGACCGGCGGCCAAGGTAGGTGATAAGGTGCGCGCTGTTATAGTAGGAACTTGTCCGTCTCCGGATGGGGGGACCCGGTTCCGAGGCCGGTGATAAGCTGTGTGCGGTTGACTTAGCAACTTCCGCCCATGGTAACTGCGGCGCCCTTACAAAGTTCTTTTGAGCGCACAGTCCCGGTCTGCGTACTCGGATGGCAGCTACTTCTGCTGTAGCCAACAGACCGCCCCAGACAACAACCCTGCGTCTTTCCACCAACCAGCAATTTTTTTTAATTCAGCTACCATATAAACTTACAGGGCTGAATATAATTTTTTATAGCAAGCGTATGCTCGCAAGTTTATCTTTTGATATTTAGAATGAAAATTGTCGCATCTCCACTTATTGACGGCTTTTTTTACAATTATTTGTTTTCTTTTTTCATTTTATTTATTTTCTTAACATAATATAGTTATCACCAGTCTTTTCCGTCCATTCAAACGTACTGACCATCCCCTCCATTCTGGTGCTCATGCCTTCCTTGAGGGTACCGATGAGATGCTTGAGCTTGACGATCTTAAAGTTCACATTGACTTCATTTCAATGTCATTGTATGTCAGTAAAAAGGTGACACAGACGCCCAATAAGCCCACTAATGCCCTACCAGAGAGTTCTTTACAAAAAAACGCTGAATATTTTTTTAGTTCATTTTAAAAACCTTATTGTTTACACGATGACGTGTCATATACATCTCTACATGCATTCTGAAGTATGGTCACTATTAAAAGACATTTTACAAAATGCAAGTAACACTGCTTTAACCGATAACTCTCCAGAGTTTACGTGATAATTAGTTTGAGGGCAGTATGCCGAAGGGAATCTAAAGACACATATTATTCAAGTGTTTAGTTAAGAGCTGTGGAGATGTCACTGATTGAGCGGGATTATTCCGTAGCTTTAATTAGCACTGCGTGAAGAACTCCAAACAAAGGTTTACTCTGTATATCGTCTTGCGTACCTTCACTGATGAGGCACGATGAGGCATGCGGTTCCACTGAAATTTATCCCCATAACGCGGACTTTGCTCCAAGTCATACATTATCTCGTGAACCATGCCGCCCTTGACTCTAACGATGTGTCT